AAAAAATATCCTCAGTTGAGGATTAACAAACAACAACAACAAAAAATCAACTATATATAAGAAACGTAGCCCTGGCAGGTTTGGCTCAACAGTTAGAGCATCGGCCCGCGGACTAGAGAGTCCCGGGTTTGGTTCCCAATAAAGGCATGTACCTCGGTTGTAATTCGTCACCGCCCCTGATTGGGGTCGTGTGGGTGGCAACCACTGGATGTGTCTCTCTCACTTCGATGTTTCTCTCTCTCTCCCACACTCTCTCCCTTCTACTCTATCTGAAGATAATGCAAAAATGCCCTCGGGTGAGGATTAAAAAAAAAGAAAGGTAATAATACATCATGACCAAGTGGAGTTTTCCCCAGAAATGCAAGGGTGGTTTAAAAATTTTAACAAAACAAAAACCTACGGAATTCACCATACTAATATACTAAAAAAGAAAAAAACATCTCAATAAATGGAGAACAGTCTATTGACAAAACTCAACACCCATTCATATAAAAACCTCCCATTCAGCTAGGAAGTGAAAGATGCTTTCTCAATTTGAAAAGGGCATTCTCAAGAAACTTAATGATGGTAGACTGTGCCCTGGCCAGTTTGGCTCAGTGGTTGAGCATTGGCCTGCGGACCAGAGAGTCCTGGGTTCGGTTCCCGCTAGGGGCACTTACCAGGAAAAAAAAAAAAAAGAAAGACTGTAACTTTTCTCCTAATAATGGAAATATGGCTAAGATGTTTGTTCTCACCACTTTTATTAAAAAATATACTGAGATCCTGTCCCATTCAATAAGGCAAGATAATGAAATAAAACACATCTAGATTGAAAAGGAATGTGTCTCCAATTACAGACAACATTACGGTTTATGTAGAGAGGTCCAAGGCATCTACAAGAAAGTAAATAAAGCTAAGTAAGTGCAGAATACATAGTCAATACATAAAAAATAAATTTCATATGCTAGTAACAAAAAGCTGGAAATGAAATAAAATAATGCTATTTATAGTAGCAGAAAAAAATTAAAAATTTAAGATTAAATTTAATTAAATCTGTTCAAGACCTATATAATAAAAATTATAAAAGTCTTAAGATACATTAAAGACCTAAATTAATAGATAGACTTATCAATTGCACCAATTAAGAGACTAAATAGTCTTAAGATGTCAATTCTCTATATAGTCGGTGTAATTCTGTTCAACATTCCAGCATTCTCTTATGGTAGAAACTGATAAGCTGATGCTAAAATTTATATAGAAACATCAAATATCTAGAACAGCCAAAATAATGTTTGAAAAAGAAAGAATTTACACTACCTGGTTTCAAGATTTACTGTAGAGTTACAGTAATCAAGACAATGTGGTATTTTTCCCTTTTTATTATTAAATTTATTGGCATAACATCGGTTAATAACACCGTATAAATTTTAGGTGTGCAACTTAATAATGCAACATCTATATCTTCTATTGTGTGCTCACCAACCAAAGTCTCTTTTCCTTCCATCATCTTGTACTTGACCCCTTTTACCCTCTTCATCATCCATCCACCCACCTTCCCTTTGGGTAACCACCCTTGAAGACAATGTGGTATATATGTAAAGATAGACTTCAAGATTAAATGAACAGAATAGATCTGAGTCCAGAAATAGATCTATAGTAATATAATCAAGTAATTTTTCAATGAAATTACCAAAATAATCCAATAGAGTGAAAGATAGTGTTTCCAACAAATGGTGCAGGAATAAGTAAATGTTCAACTGAAAAAAAAAAAAAAAATCTGGACCCTAACCTCATTCCATACTCAAAATTAAATATAAAATGTAAAAGCACAAACTTTAAAAGAAAACAAAGGACAATATCTTTGTGATCTTGGGGTGTGCAAAGATTCCTTAGAAACAACACAAAAAAACAGGAACTGTAAAAGTAAAATTGATAAACTGGACTCCACCAATAGTTTTAAACTTTATTCTTCAAAAGATGCTATTAAGAATATGTAAAAACAAGCCACATTATAGGAGAAAAATTTGCAACCCATTTATCTAAAAAAGGATTTCCGTGGGAGGAGGCAGAAGAGGGAAAAAGAGAAATAAGGAGTGATGGAAGGGTACTTGACTTGGGGTGGTGAACACACAATACAATATGCAGATGATTTATTATAGAATTGTACACCTGAAACTATATAATTCAATTACCCAATGTCACCCCAATAAATTCAATAAAATAAAAAAGGACTTACATCTAGAATACATAAAAAACATTTACAATTCAATTGTAAGACAATTTAAAAACGAGCAAATGATTTGAAAAGACAATTCAAATAAGATGTAGAAATGGTCAATATGCACACAAAAAAATGCTCAAATAAATTAAAACCACAAAGAAATATCAGTACATACTTGGTAGAATGACTAAAATAAAAAACACTGACATTATCAAGTGATAATACTTCAAAAACATTTTGCAGACACAAAAGATACTAATTTATGTGAAATTCTAGAAAAAGCAAATTTTATCTATAATGACAGAAAGCAGACTAGTGGTTACCTGGAGCCAGCAGTAAAAGGTGGTGAGTTCTGGGTACAAAGGAATGGGGTGGGGGGTAATAAAGATGTTCTACAACTTGATTATGTTGGTGTTTACATGAGTGTATATATTTACGAAACCAAATATATATCTAAATTGAATGTATTTTATTTTATCTTCATAAAGATATCTCAATAAAGCTGAATTAAAAAAAAACAACAGGAAAAAAAATCTCTGTGTTTAAATGGGTTTCAGAATTTTTGGAGTTTTAGTAAAGTAGTACTATACATTTACTTATGTTAAACAACATCCCCAACCGGTTATATGGTATCACCCTATACTTAAATACAATAATACATTTTCAGAAAACAAATATAACTAAAGTGAGGTAAGTTTAAAAACAGCTGCAAAGGTCAGCTTCTGTGGACCAATTGATAGGGTAAGGGCACATAATAGGAATAGAACCACAGTTGTTTACCGATTATTCAACTTACTAACAATAGATAGATTTTCTTACAGACCCAAGGAAACTGGAGGATGTGTTACTAGAAGAAAAACAAAGCTGTAAAATGATAAGACGCCATGGAGCCTGGGTCCATTACTCAGAAAAGAAGATACATTTTTTTTGATAATTTATTTCTCTTTATTGATTTTACAGAGAGAGGAAGGGAGGGGGGGGGGAGAGAGAGAGAGAGAGAGAGAGAGAGAGAAACATCGATGAGCGAGAACATCAATTGGCCACCTTCCATATGCCCCCACTGGGGAAGTGGCCCACAACCTGGGCATGTGTCCTGACCAGGAATCGAACCAGCAACCTCTTGGTGCATGAGTCAATGCTCAACCACTGAGCCACACTGGTCGGGCACATTTTTTATTTTTAATCCTCACCCAAGGATATTTTTTCCATTGATTTTTATATTTTTATTTTTAGAGACAGTGGAAGAGAGGGAAGGGTGGGAGAGAGAGAGAGAGAAAGAGAGGGAGAGAGAGAAACATTGATGTGAGAGAGACACATTGACTGGTTGCTTCCCACACCACCCTGACCAGGGTCAGATGTGCAACCCAGGTACATGCCCTTGATCCGAAATCAAACCCAAGAACTGCTGACACTCTAACCACTGGCACATAAGAGCCTTTATTCCAATAAACACCTGAAGGGTTGTGGATTCAGTTCCAGGTCAAGGGCACATACCTGGTTGCAGGTTCGATCCTTGGTCCTGGTTGGGGTTGTGTAGGAGGCAACCAGTCGATGTGTCTCTCTCACACTGATGTTTCTCTCTCTTTCTCTCTCTCTCTATCTCCCTCCCTTCCACTAGATCTAAAAATCAATGAAAAAATATCCTCCTGTGAGGATTATAAACAAACAAACAAAAGATACATTTTAAGAGCAAACCAAGGACATGCCTTAGTTGCTATGCCAGACCCTGAACCCCTCCCAGAGTTTGCCTCAGGAATGCTGACCATTCTCCAGTTCTAGGAACCAGATGAGCTGCTTTTAACATACATTAACTACCTTGTTACTGGACTTCGAGCTCCTGGAAGCAGACACACTGATTGCAGTCTGCACTCCCTTTACTCTGTTACATTCCTAGCTGCATGTAGCCCTTTCTCCCTCACCCATGTATAATCAGCCAGCTGGCAATGGGGTGGGGTGGGTCAGAGCAGAATTTTCAGGATGACTGCTGCTCCCCCCATACTGCCAGCATCATTGGAATAAATACCCACATGATTCAATCCTGTCTCTGCTTAATATGGTTCAAGCCATGACAGGTAGCCTCGGACCCATTTAGTGTTCGGCATCAGAGTGAGTTTTAGAACCAACGTTTAGAAAGAACTTTGGGTGTTCAGAATTTTTTTATTTAGTCTTGCAAATGAGGACTTATAGTGCACTCTGTATGTCCTGAGTGCCTCTTATGTGCCAGGTATTCTTGTCAGATGCTTGCAGGATATACAAACACAAGCAACTTTGTCTTTGCCCTTTGGAGTTAAGAAGACTAGTATGACAGTTCCTGCTGACCAGGGGCTCACAAGGCACAGGGAATCAGACACAGACAAGGAATGGCACACAAGGCATATTTTGATAATATGATAGGAGACTATGAGATGAAGGAATTAATTCAATCATTCTGTGAGAAGACTAGGCTGGAAAGAGAAGTCAGAGTTTCTTTTTTTTTTAATCCTCACCGGAGGACACGAAGACATTTTTGCATTTATCTTCAGACAGAGCAGGAGGGAGAGAGTAAGGAAGAGAGAGACACACATCGACGGGTTGTCACCCACATGACCCCAACCAGGGCCAGGGACAAACTGCAACCAAAGTACGTGCCCTTAGCGGGAACCGAACTGAGGACTCTGGTCCGCAGGCCGATGCTCTAACCACTGAGCAACCAGCCAGGGCAGGTCAGGGTTTCATTACGACGATCTTATATGCTGGATTAAGGCATTTGCATTTTATCCTGTAAGCAACAGCACTTCAATATTTATTAAACTGGACTCACCAGTGATGCTCTCTGAGTCTCTGTGATTGCTATTCATGAGGTTTTCTTCACCCATTGGTGATGTAAAAATGGCATTCTGGGATTGATTCATGCAGGATCCTTTCTTGCTTTGGTTGAGGACAGCTTTGGTATGAATTAGAGTGAAGGAAATCCATCAAGCCATTCAATAAAAAAATGGATCTGGTTGTATGGGTATTTCCTGATGGACAAATGGCATCTGCAGCAGTGAGTGCTCTCAGGTAATTATCATACCTCAGACAGTCATGACCTAAAACAAAGAACACATCAAGTGACTTTGAAATTCAGCATGTTCTTAAATAACAGCAGTCCAATTACCTGCAATGTCTTTCATTAAGAATGTTTTCCTAATGATGCACATAACATGGATACATCTCAAAATAATTATGCTGGGTGAGAGAAGTCAGACAGAAAAAGAGTATATAGTTTATAATTCCACTTACACTTATCTATCATGACAGAAAGCAGATCAGTGGCTGCCTGGGGTTGGAGGAGGAATTACTAAGGGGCAGGAGAAAAGTTTTGGGGATGATGTATATGCTCATGATTTTTATTGTGGTATTATTTTTATTTCACAAGTGTATACACATGTCAAAACTTACAAAATTGTACACTTGAAATATGTGCAATCTAATGTATGTTAATTATAGTGCATAAAGCTGTTTAAAAATATTTTAAAATAATTGACTAAAGTAAAATAATAATATATTGTAGGGTCTATAGCATATATAGACATAAAATGTACTAAAACAATAGTACAAAAACCAGGAGGAAAAAATGGTATTATACTGTGGTAAAGATTTTTTATTACATGGAAATAGTAACATATTGCTTGAAGGTAAACTCTGATAAGTTAAAGATGTATACTATAAATCTTAAAGCAAGCAATAAAATAACTCAAGAAATACAGATAATAAAAAAAAACAAAGGAAATGGATGAAATGGAATAATATACAACAGGGTTTCTCAATCATGGGGCTACTGACATTTTGGGCCAGATAATACTTTATCATGTGTACTGTAGAATATTTACCATCTGACTCTATAGAAAAACTTTGCCAATCCCTGATCTAGTAATAAAATAATTTTGGCGTCACATAACCACATTTTTAAATCAATGATTTCCTACATCAACTTCTTAAACAGGGTTCCCCGCTACATTTAGATACTTGTAATTAGATCACTACTTCTAGAAGAATCCCAGTAAACTAAAAAACAGAATTCTACTTTTTACACCTACAAGTATATTTAAAGTTATTTCCAATTTCTAAGAAAGCATTTTTTAAAAAGTAATGTCACACACTTGCTTGTGAGGAAGAGAGGGGAGGGAGAGGGGGAGGAAGAAGATGAAAAGGGAGAAGATAAAAGCCAAGTGCCTCTCATATTGTTCCAAATTGGTTCTTAAACAAAACAGTAGTTCTTAATCATATTTTAACCAAAGAACATCGTGAAAACCTAACGATAACCGGAAGACCTTCTGCTTAACTCTCTGTTACACGCCAGGTGGTTTAATCTTATATTTACATTACCATTCCTATTTTTTAAAAAATATTTACATATACCACATGGGAACACACACACACACCCTATATATAAATTTCAACTGTGGACTCGAGATCTTTGTTCTAAATTGCTTCTTTTTAAAAATTTTATTGCTGACACTACTACAGATGTCCTCCATTTTTCTCCGCTTTCCCCATCTCCACCAAGCCCCCGCGCCCCCTCCCTCTAGCCATCACGACACTACTGTCTGTGTCCATGGGCTATGCCTGTATGTTCTTTGGCTAATTTCTTCACCTTCTTTCATCCAGTCCCCCCATCTCCTTCTCTGACATCTTTCAGTCTGTTCCATGTATCCATGTCTCTGGTTCTATTTTGTTCATTAGATTCCACATAAAAGTAAGATGCTCTGGCTGAGTAGCTCAGTTGGTTAGAACATTGAACTGATTATCAAGGTTGTGGGTTTGATCCCCAGTCAAGGCACAAACAAGAGAATTGCTTCTTAATCAGTTTTGGAGGTTTTGTTAATGGTTTGGTCTCAACTCCTGAATGTAAGGATAGAGAAAACCAGGTTGAACACAGAACTAAGTCCATCTCCAGACTCAAGCAGGAGGAATCTAGACCTCCAGGGCAATCCAAAAACCTGCCCAACCTGCACACTATGGAATAGCTCAGGGATGATTTCGAAATAATATGTTCTTCCTGGTGACTCTTTAGAACCAAATGAAGTCTTTGGATATGACCTGGTCTAGATCTGAGCTCTTCAGTAGGTCTAGTTTGGAGTAGCAACAGAGAGTATAGAATAATGTCTATAACTTGGCATTAGACAAGCCTGAATTTTTGTTTTATTTACTGGTTTTCTGACTCTCAGCACATTATCTAACAGTTTCTCACTGTCAAGATAGGAGTTATAAAAAACTGCTCTTTATGGGGAGGGTCAGGTATAAGGACTAAAATGCTCATTCCCTTTAGCTTCTGACTTTTGCTTGGGCCTAAAGAAAAGATCATGTCTTCAGCCTAATATTTCTTAAGTTTCTGGCTCAACAGGCAATTCTAAGTCCCAAATGGCTACCCTGTTTGAGTAGAGAACAAATGTAGTCTAAAGATTGGGTCTGAATAATCTTCATACAGAGATAAGAACCGAGACACTGTGCCATAAAGAGACAAGTGCCATAAAGCAGGACTACTGAGGGAAATTATTTCTTCATGGATTCTAAGGAAGGGCTGCTTATAATAAAAGTCTTAACTATAATTGGTACCATCATCCATAGCGTAGTGGCTGTATTACCTGTTGCTACTGCAACAAATTACCACAAGATTAGTGGCTTAAAACAAAGTCAATTTATTATCTTACACTTCTGGATGTCAAAGGATGAAATTAATTCGATGGACCAAAATCAAGGTATCGGCACGTCTGTGCTTCCTCTGAAGGCTCTAGGGGAGAATCCTTGTCTTTTTTAACCTTTAGAGCTACATTCCTTGGCTCAGGGCCCCTTCCTCCATTTTCAAAGCCAGTACCACAGCATCTTCAAATCTCTGTTTCTATGTCACATCACAGCCTTCTGCCAAACCTGCCTTTATCTCCCTCTTATAAGGACAACTGTGATCACATTTAAGGCCCAATGGAATAATCCAGGATACTCTCCCCATCTCCAAAATCCTTTAGTCTCTTCTGCAAAATACCTTTTATCATTTAAGATAATAGCCACAGGTTCCAGGGGATTTGGATCTGGACATCTTTGTGGGCCATTACTCAGCCTATCACATTTAAAACATGGATTCTGTTCATTAGATTCCACATATAAGGGAGACCATGTGATATCTGTCTTTCTCTAACTGGCTTATTTCACTTATCATAATAATCTCCAGGTTCCTCCATGCTGTCTCAAAGAGCAATAGATCCTTCTTTTTTTTTTTTTTTTACAGCTGCCCAGTATTCCATTGTATAAAGGTACCACTTTTTTATCCACTCATCTATTGATGGGTACTTGGGCTGTTTCTACATCTTAGTTCGTGTAAATAATGCTGCTATGAACATAAGCATTATATTCTGATAAATAAAATAGAACCAGAGGCATGGAAACATTGAAGAGACTGATGAGTCTCAGAGGGAAGGGGGAGGGAGGGCAGGAAGAGATTAACCAAAGAACTTTTATATTCCCTGCCCTTGGACACAGACAATAGGGTGGTGAAGGCCTGGAGCAGGGTAGGAACTGGGTGGAAGGGGACAATGGGGGGGAGGGGGGACAGGGACCATCTGAATTACTCTGAATAAAGATAAAAAAAAAAAACCATGAAGATATGATTCTTGAACCTAAACAAGAAAAGATGGTGCCTGGACTTTTGCCATGATTGGACAATAAACACATATCAAAGTAAAAAAAAGAACAATGGATTCTGGAACTAGACTACCTATATCTGAACCCCAGCTCCACGACTTACTGGTTGTATGACCCTGGACAAAATTACTTAACTTCATTTCTTCATCTGTAAAATGGGTCTAATAACAGTGTCTACTTAATGGGGTTGCTATGGGGATTAAGTGAGTTCAGAGAATAGCACCTACCTCAGAGGGTCCATGGGGGAATACCATGAGTTAATACATGTAAAGCTCTTAAAACAATGATTTAGAATACAGTAAATATTATGCAAATATTAGTTATTATTTCTATTAGCACCAATTAGTACTATTTTATTATCATTATTATTATTGTACCTTACATGAAGTTAAGCACAATATAAACCCTATTTCTGACTCCTTAATGACATCTTCCCTCAACATCAGAAGTTACATTTACTTCTTGCTCTCTGACAAGTGATATTTAGTGCCATTAATCATTTTCTGTTTACTTCTCTGATGCATGAATAAAGAGATAGCATGCAGAATCTGAGTCCTAAATGTAGTGAAAACTAAACTTTGGCAAGCTACACAACACATTTTCAGTGCCTTTCCTAGTTTGTACACACACATTCTAAGTACTTCCTTGAGTATCATCTACTTTCTATGCTGGATCTGTACTCGTTCTTTTTAGGAATAACTTTGTTGCTTTTTTATAAAAGAATTAATTGAGCATGCATTATTAACAAGAAGCCAGCCTTTGTAATTCATGCACATTTAGGAGAAAAATAAAATAGCCAAGTGATTTCTTTTCATAAGAATGAGACTTTAAAAAGAACAACCAAAACATGACCCTGATACAAATATTGCTGGCAGAAAACAACATGGTTAATGACTTAGTTTAGCCTAGCCATGGAAACTAATGGTCAACAGTGAGTACCTAAAATAGGCCCTGTGCCTTACAAACTTCTTGCTACTTCCTTAACACAGGACACTCTGGTCAAAACAGCCTTATAGAAAAGCTAAAATAATTCAGGGAAACTTCACCTCGACAGAAGTGCAGAGTCAGAATTATAGTATATATAATGATTTAGTGGAACATTTAAATTAGATATACATATAAAAATTTCATTGTACAAATAATACTTTGGGAATTAATTTAAAATAATGTTAGCTGCTGATCAACATTCATTGGTAGTAACAGTGCTAATCATCAACTCCAGCAGTAGCTTTTTCAGGCAGTGGCAGCCCTAATCCAGACAAAAGATAAATTGTGTAATTTAAAAAGTAAGTACCCATTGTTCCTACATTAAATAATAGATTTTGGCAGGGACTCGCTAATTTTAATGCATCTGGCTATATCAAAGATAAGATATATATATTTAAAAACACAGTAATTCTAAAACCAGACA